AGTGGCGCTGCCGCAACTACAGCTACACGGCCGACCGGGATTCTCGAAGAGTCGAGCATGCCGGTCTACTCGCCGTCCGGCGACCTCCTCCACATGGCGATTCAGTTTAGCTACGTGGTCATGTTTTTCGGTCGTGTGGCCCTTCTGCGCGCTCTGTGCGTACTGCAACAACTGGGTTGCGCTCCGCTTTGACGCGATCAAGATGACGATCGACTGCAAGCGCGCCGTGCCCCGTCGTAGCATCGGCATTGGGCCGTGGTACGGGGCCTTTATGTTTGAGACGCTCATCGCAACCGTCGCGGTGCCTGCTATCTTTGTGTACGTGACCGGTCAAATGGACTCGTACACGTGCCCGATTGATACGCTCAATTACGGCCCCGTCGACAATTGCTTTTCGCTGCTGCAGCGTCTCCTGGCCTTTTGCTGCCTCGAGAACGCCGGCATCGCCATCTGCTTTCTCGTGTACCTCCGGAAAAGCAACATCTCGACCGAGACGTCCATCAAGATCCAAGAGCACTCGCGCCGCCTCAAGCACAACGTCCGGAAGAGCGTGCGCACGATCGGCGAGCACATCCTTGTCCAAGTCTACGGGAAAAGCCACATTGGCGAGTGGCGCCAAGGCACCGTCGCGTGGGTCAAGAACGGGCGCGTTAAAGTCAACTTTTACGCGTCCAGCGGGTTGGGCAGCGACGGGCACTCGACCGAGCACGAAGGTACATTTTGAATGTTTGATGCATAACGCATCGATCGATTCCGTGTTTAGTGTGGCTCCAACACGAACGGTACGCGCTCAAGAGCCCGACGCCGGTGCGCATTTTTGAGCTGCAGATGCCCGTGCTGCTGGCGTCGACGGTCAAAGGCCGATGGCTCCAAGGCCATATCGTGCACCTCGACACATTGGATCGGCTCGGGAAGGAACTCATCCATCACCCGAGCGAGATGCACTTGTCGATCCTCGAAGGCCGCAACTTGCGCTCGTACATGATGCGCAACGTTCTCGACCCGTACGTTGTGCTGACGTGCGGCAGCTTCAAGCACATGACGTCCATCAAGCGCCATACGCTCAACCCGCTCTGGAACGAGCACCTGATCTTTCCACTGCACGAAAAGGAAGTGTTCAAATCCGAGGCGAAGCCCGAGACGATCAAGCTCGTCGTGTACAACCACGACACGCTTTCGCTGGGCGAATGCATTGGCGAAGGCGAGATCGACCTGAGCGCGCACCGCGACGGAACCAAGGCCAAGGTCTGGGTGTCGCTGACGCAGAAGAAGAAGCTCAACATGGAAATGCTGGGCAGCGCCGTGCATAAAATGGCGATGGGCGACCCGCTCGAGCCGCAGATCTGCGTCGAGCTCCAATGGATCGACACGCGACTGCCCACGAGCGTCCACGTGCAAGTGGACGCGGATGGCGCCGGCGCGCCGCCCCGTGTCCTCAACCGCAAGTTTTGCGACAAACGCCTCTGCTACGGCATCCAGCACGACGAGATCCTCGAAGGCCGCATCTTCAACGCCACCGACATGTAGTCTTTTTATGCCTCCTGCGTGTAAACAAAAATGGATATGTTGTATATCAGCTAAATTCAAAGCCGACCCTTCGGTTGCATACATGAAAACGCGATGGCGATGAAAACGCGATGGCGATGCAATACCTGAAGCATCGGTGATCATGTATTACTTCGCAGTACGGTATCGACCTCGATTAAAGCTGCAGAAGAGTCAGAGGTCGACTGTGGGTCGACTGGACGCTGTCACGGGACTCGGCCCCTTTGAGCCCCTAGAGTCGTAAAAGAATAGAACAATGAGATCTGTGCCTGTTGTTCGCTCGTGGAGTAGAACGACATACGTAGCGACTATGGACGCTGTCTAGGGCAGGGAGTGTTCGTTCGTCAGCGACGGGATCGACGTTGACAATGCGCGCGTTGATGACGTGAGCGCCACAAGCTTGCGCTCAGCATACCAATCGTCATAAGGTTATTGTTGCTATTGGATCGCGCCGGCGACCTGCACCGTGATATAACCGCATTTTCACGTAAATGACCGTCATTTCTCGAGCGCTGACGTCATTTATACCGTACAATGGTCCTACGCAGGGCATCATCATGAAGGAGGACGGAACACACCGATCCAGGTGCATGTACAGGACGTGTACCTATATACTATATGGTATATATATGAGTATATTGTATTCATCGAGGGTCACAGGGTCAACGAGACAATGGCATGGGGTGTATTGATAGTATTGTGAAAGAAAAGCAAAGAGCCGCTAGCTACATGGTTATTTGGATGGTGTTTCGTGTCGACGGCGGCTACGGATTGGTCGACGATCGCGCTTCGTTGGCTTTGAACGAGTCGCGGGGGCCGTGCATCGACTGGGTGTCGCTGAGGCGCCGCCCGGTGCTGAGCTGGTCGACGCGCAGCGTTGCGATTTCGCGGACGCTGGCGCCGGTGCTCGTTTGGTGCGTCGTCGCCTGTTTGTCGTCGGGCGCAGAGAAGGCAAACCCCTTGTAACTGCGCATCTCGAGGTTGCGGACGCCCGCCTTCTCATCACCCTCGTTGTCGACGAACGACTGCGACGCGAGACCCTTGCGGCTCGAAAAGTCCGTGAGGCGCTGGTCGACCTTCTTGAGCGCGCTGCGTTCGCGCAAGATGTTGGCTTCCGTCGGCCAGTACATACGGTAAATGCTACACCATACTGTCGGCGGGACAAGATGGACACGGAGACGATGTACCTTGTCAGGGACACATCGACAAGGATGCCTGCAACCGGGATGAGGAAGAAGACGGTCCAGTAGAGATCCCTAGCATGTATCATCATGACATATCGTTCATCTCAGCAAGACGTACGCGCCAAGCATGATAGGGGTCACGCCAAACATGTCCGTGCCAAGGAATGTCATGTGTGGGTACACGAGGAGGAAGAAGAAGAAGAGGAGGATGCTAAAGGCGAGGACCGCGTAGCTGAACCGCGTCCAGCAAAGCGTCTCCAGAATGACCTTGGCGTTCATGGTCATGAGCAAGCCCGAGTAGATCGTCGTGCCTTGGAGGTAAAACGAGTGGGCGGTGTAGGCCGGCACAATGTAGAGCGGGATCCAAAAGCTCACAAACGCATGGTAAATGGCGTTGGCGATCCAGAGCAGAAAACACTTGACGTTGAGGTCTTCGTTGCGCTGGCCGGTCATGTACAGTGGCGGGAAGGCCAACGCTTGCTCCGGGTTGACGTCTTGGTCGAAGACACCAATTGAGATGATTGGGAGCGCGAGAAAGAAGTTCCAGCCCGCAAGCACAAAACTCTCAAAGAGCGACGAGCCGCTTTGGCCGTTGAAAAAGTTGAAGAGAAAGAGCACGATCACGAGCGACATGTTCTTGTAGAACGAGTACAAGATGACCTTGGCGATGCGCTTGTAGTTGCTGCGCCCATGCACGAGCAAGAGACGCTCCAGAAATCTAGGCCAAACGTTAGAATCCTTGTGCAAATATGGCAGCTCTACAAAATCCAAAAGATCAAAGTATCAACATACCGAAACTGCGCAATCGCATAGTCGCTCGCGTTCACGGCCTGAACGCCTTCTTGGCCGCAGATGCCGATGCCCACGTGCGCCGACTGGATCATGTTGACGTCGTTGGCGCCGTCGCCGATCGCGAGCGTAATCGGCTTGTTGACCGAGTTGAAGCGGACCTACAAGTTGCAGTTGGTCGACGGCTGCGCAATGGAAAGCAATGTATGTACGAGGTTGACAATGTCGGCCTTCTGCGCCGGCGAGACGCGGCACGCAATGAGCGCTTTGCAGACGCTCGCGACGACCAGAAGTTTGCGCCGAAGCTCCTTTGCGGTGGCCTTCTCCGCGTCCGACTGCGTCGTCGCTTTGGCGGGAAAGAGGTGCACGAGCGACTTGCCGTCGCAGACGACTGCCATGTCGTTGCTCACGGCTTTTTTCTTGTAGAGGTCTTGGATCGTTGGCATTTGGAACAAATAGTCAATCTAGTCCAATCTTCTTCCCCTTTCCCATGATATCGTACCTGCGCAACGAGGTCGTCGATGTTTTCGCGGTTGATGTACAGCAGCTTCATGCCATCGTCGAGGAGCCGGCACGCGTGGCCAATGTTGACGGCGGTTTCTTCCTTGTCGCCAGTGAGCACCCAAATCTTGATGCCGGCCTGCGCGAGATTGAAGATCGTGCGCGGGACGCCGACTTGGAGCTTGTCTTCGATCGCGGTCGCCCCGACAATGTCCATGTTGACTTCGAGCAGCTCGGCCACGTCGTCGAGCATCTGGTCCCGGTTCACGAGCGACGTTGCGGCCTCTTGGTACTTGGCGTTCCACGCGTCGTACTCGGCAATCGAGAGCTCGCGCTGGGCAAGCACAAGCGTCCGGAGGCCCTCAGTCGCAAAGTTGCGGAGCTGTTCGTCGAGGTTGGTCGAAAACTCGTCTTTCTTGCAGCGCGGCAAAATTACATTGTCGGCGCCCTTGCATAGCAGTACGAGGCGGTCGTCCGGGAACTGGGCCACGACCGACATGCGTTTCCGCGTCGAGTTGAACTCGTTCACGTTCAAGATCGTGTACGCGCACGTCGCGGCGGTCTGTCCCGCGAGCGTCACGTCGACCTCCAAGAGCGGCGCTGGCGTCTTTAGATTGAAGCCAAGGCAGCGCGCGGCCTTGACGAGCGCCTCTTCGTCAGGTGACGACGCGCGGTAGTTGACCGCCCCCGTGGTTGCGTTCGCCTCGGGAATCACCGTGTGACACACCGAGAGCAGCGTTAAGAAGTCCCGAATCTTGTCGGCGTTGGGACCCTGTGTCGCGAGCTCGTGCACCAATCGCGGGTCGTCAAAGTTGATGGTCTTGTCGCGGAAGATCTGCGCCGCGTCAATGTCCCCTTCGGGCTCCTTGGGTTTGAGTGCCGACGACGTGTCCTTCTTGGCGAGAAGCGCAACCGCGGCTGCGATTTCCGTCGACCCGTAGCCGTAGACAACGCCACCGATCGAGCACTTGCGAAACTCCATGATGTTTTGAGTGAGTGTCCCCGTCTTGTCGGAGAAAATGTACTCGATCTGCCCCAGGTCCTCGTTGAGGTCCGACGTCCGGGCAATCGCATGGAAGCCTTCATGGCACATTTCCGGGTCTGACGAGATGTTTTTGGCTTGGGCCACCTATCGAAGACATATTGAGTGGCTGGACAACTTGTCCTTGCAAGTACTACCTTGACCATGTCGAGGGAGACGTAGAGCGAGATGGGCACGAGGTTGTTGTAGAGGATGAGGAATGTAAAGAAGGCCGTGCCATCGGCCTCGATGAACGGGAGGTACCACACGCGTTGCTTGTAGTCCGAGACCCACGAATTGAACGAGAGCGTGCTGATGATGCACAGCAAAAACTGACATGATACTATATCCGCACAGACTTTGTGATGACGCATCCTGTACCTGCGTCATAAAGATGAGCACGATGCAGCGGTTGACCATTCGGTAGACGTTGCTTTGCTTGGACGGCGTCGCGCGGGCGTTCTGCATGAGCTTGGTTTCCTTGCCCGCAAAGAGCACGACACCTAACCGCACGCTCAAGCGAATCATTGACTAATCCACGCTCGCACCAAACACGTAGGCACAGCTTCGAATGCTGCAACCGCGCAAAATAATGTTGTTGGGGCCAATGGGCACCGCGTCGCCCGTCGACGCTGCTTGAATGCGCCCCGTAAAGTTGTACAAACGATTGTTGGGTTGCTCGTACTCGATCGAGCCTTGGAACGCCGCGCAGCTCGCTTTGTGCTCCTCTTCGTTCATCACCGCCTAGCAAGAGACCATCAATATCATTCACCACGACGCTGTCGTCGTCATCGTACGTCGCTGAGACCGCGGAATCCAACGAGCTTGGCAATCGGCTCGAGCCCGGTCCGGCGCTTCAAGTTCGTCTCGCCGTCCAAGTTGCACGTCTCGACGAAGCACCGACCTTCTTCTTCCGACGTGGCCAAGATCAATATGTCCGCGGGCAGCTCGTCCTTGTCCTTGAGGAAGAGAATGTCGCCAACGAGCACGTCCTGCCATTTTTTGCTCACGAGCTTGCCGCCCGCGGTCACCACCTAGCGCAGAATAAGCGTTTTCATACTGTTCGACACCGAGTGTACGGTGCAGAGGCGGCTGTTTTGGATCGCATCCGCGTCATGGCGCTTCTTGTCTTCCAAGCCTTGCTTGAACATGGAGACGAGCAGCACGATTAGGAGCGGCCCGGCCGTCGTGTACGGGTTCGTTGGCGACCACGACGTGGCCAGCTACGCTCGGATGAATATTTTTGTGACAAGAAATGGACCGTCGTACTTGAATGACCGAGATGAAGAGGAAATATCCGTTGGCAATGACCCGAAAAACTCAAAGAGCGTCTTGGGCACAAAGCTACCGAACGTGAAAACGGGCTGGACGAGACGTACGACGCACCTCACGAGCGTGTACTTGGACGTTGCGACCCAATTGGTCGTGTAGTACCCCTTGAGCCGGAGCTCGCGGTTCTTGGCCTCATCGTTGACGAAGATGCTGCGCGTGTCGGCGACCTCGAGCTTGGTCTCGCCGTTTGGGTGGACCACGTCCGTCATCCTCGCAACGGCTGGCGCTCGAGCCTTGGATTCGACGAATGGCAACGTAGCGCCTTGCACCTCGTGCTGGAAATAGCCTGAAACACACGCGCAAAATAACAGCCAAAATGGCTTGACACGACGAAACGCTTTCCACATGGCATGGCGCCCGGTGCACTCGTGCGAAAATCTCAACGCGACCACGAGCCAATGTCGTCGTGGGGGCAAAGCAGACGCTGCGATCCGGACGCGCTAGAGCGAGCGAGTACAGGGATGATGGACTTTCGATGAAACACAAGCTCGTGAGCAAGCTAGAAGCCCTTTTGATTCTAAGGTGATGGTTGCATGGCTAAACTATCTACACTACCACGTGGATTCCGACTTCGTATACGATGGCTCACAACCACGCCTGCACACCACGAAGGAGGACCGCCTGGAGGGATAACTTGTCGGAGGTTTTGGATTTCGCGCCATTTTGAGTGCCCGTTGGGCGCGTCGGTTTCAGGTATAAATAGGCTCGAGCCAAGTCGAGTCGCCACATATCGGTTCGTGTGCAAGTTTGAGAGAGAGACAAAGCCGACGGTATGGCGGACGCAGGCGGCACGCGTCTCGTGCACGTCAACGACGACGCCGCCAACGCGACGCTCCGCACGACCTGCAAGTACACGACGAATTGGGTCGCGACGTCCAAATACACGTTTTACAAGTTCGTCCTCCGTGCGCTTGCTATCGGCGGCTGACTGCTTTCTCCGTAGCTTTGTGCCCAAGACGCTCTTTGAATTTTTCCGAGTCGTGGCCAACTGCTACTTTCTCGTCATCTCGATCCTCCAGCTCTCCACCACGTGGTCGCCGACCAACTCGTATACGACGGCCGGGCCGCTTCTTATCGTGCTTATTGTCTCGATGGTCAAACAAGGCTTGGAAGACAAGAAGCGCCACGAGGCCGACGCGGTTCAAAACAGCCGCCAGTGCCAAGTAGTATTTCGTAGCGCCAACATCTCTCATACAATTCGTAGGTGGTGACCGCGGGCGGCAACCTCGTGAGCAAACACTGGCAAGACGTGCTCGTTGGCGACATTCTCTTCCTCAAGGACAAGGATGAGATGCCTGCTGACGTCTTGATCTTGGCCACGTCCGAAGAAGAGGGTCGGTGCTTTGTCGAGACGTGCAACTTGGACGGCGAGACGAACTTGAAGCGCCGGACCGCGCTCGAGCCAATTGCCAAACTCATTGGATTTCGCAGCCTCAACGACGTACGACAAGCAGCGACTATTTGTAATGCGGCGCCTCACAGACCTTCTCCATCGATTGTAGCCTGTACTCGACCCGACCAGCCACATGAAGAGCTGCATGGACATAGCGGCCACAATCGAGTATGAGCAGCCCAACAACCGCTTGTACAACTTTACAGGGCGTATCCAAGCCAAAAAACTCAACGAACCCGTGCCCATTGGTCCCAACAATATCGTCTTGCGCGGCTGCAGTCTTCGGAGCTGCAACTACATCTTCGGTACCGTTTCCGTCGAGTTGGCCCGGATGTAACATCGATATATTATCGAGTAGGCATTGTGCTCTTTGCGGGCAAAGAGTCCAAGCTCATGCAGAACGCCCGCGCGACGCCGTCCAAGCAAAGCAACGTCTATCGAATGGTCAACCGCTGCATCGTCCTCATCTTCTTCACACAGGTATGTACACTATTTTTGTATAGATTTTTTATATACATGTCATTGTAGCTCGTCTTGTGCATCATTTGCGCCGTCGCGTTCAACGCGTGGGTCGACCACTACCAGGGCATCGTGTGGTACCTTCCGTTCATTAGCCACGAATACTCGGCCTTTTTTACATTCCTCATCCTCTACAACAACCTCGTGCCCATCTCGCTCTACGTCTCCCTCGACATGGTCAAGGTAGTACATGCAAGGACGAGTTGTCCAACCACTCCATATGTCTTCGATAGGTGGCCCAAGCCAAAAACATCTCGTCGGACCCGGAAATGTGCCACGAAGGCTTCCATGCGATTGCCCGGACGTCGGACCTCAACGAAGACCTGGGGCAAATCGAGTACATTTTCTCTGACAAGACGGGGACGCTCACTCAAAACATCATGGAGTTTCGCAAGTGCTCGATCGGTGGCGTTGTCTACGGCTACGGGTCGACGGAAATCGCAGCCGCGGTTGCACTCCTTGCGGCACAGCGGAATGGTGAGAAGGAAGCTCCCGCTGCAACGATTGTGTCTGGTCCAGGGCCCGCCGCCGACATTCGCGACGCTCAGATCCACCCGGATAAGACCGTCAACTTTGATGACCCACGCCTCGTGTCGGAGCTCACAAGCCACGGCTCCGAGTACAGCAAGATCGATGCTTTCTTGACCCTTCTCTCGGTCTGCCACACGGTCATTCCCGAGGCCAACCCCAAGACAGGCGTCACCAACTACCGCGCGTCGTCGCCCGATGAGGAGGCGCTCGTCAAGGCCGCGCGCTGCCTCGGGTACGTTCCCTTGAAGCCATTTCGGTGCCATTGACGATTTTTTTGTGCAGCTACAAGCTCGTGACGCCGGCGCCGCTCGTGGAAGTTGAAGTCACATTCAAAGGCAAGTCGCCGATCATGCGACAGTACATGGTTCTCAACGTCAACGAATTCAACTCGACGCGGAAGCGCATGTCAATCATTGTCCGCGACCCGAGCCAGCGCATTTTGCTTCTCTGCAAGGGCGCCGATAACGTCATTATGCCCCGCTGCAACCCCGATGCATTCACGTCGTCGCTCGACGAGCAGCTCAAGAGCTTTGCGAGCGAAGGCCTCCGAACGCTCGTGCTTTCGCAGCGCGAACTCTCGAAAGACGAGTACGAACGCTGGAACAAGACGTACCAAGAAGCTGCAACCTCGCTTGTGAACCGTGACCAAATGCTCGACGACGCGGCGGAAGTGCTCGAGGTCAACATGGATGTGGTCGGCGCGACTGCGATCGAAGACAAGCTCCAAGTCGGTGTCCCAGCGACCATTCACAACTTGGCCATGGCCGGCATCAAGATTTGGGTGCTTACTGGCGACAAGGAAGAAACCGCCGTCAACATTGGCCACGCGTGCCGGCTGCTCAACCAAGACATGCAGCTGCTCTTTGTGAACCGCGAAAGCCTTGACGGGCTCATCGAACAGGTATCATCTAGTGGATGCTGCCATGTTGTGGTCGGTTAGATGCTTCATGGAAATTGTTTGCTAGATTGACTATCTGTATGGCATGGAAAGCGTCCAGTCGTGCTTCAAGAAGGGCATTGTCTCGGACCGATTGGCGGTCGTGTGCGACGGCAAGTCGCTCGTGCACCTCTTTCCACCAAAGAAAACATCCGCGGCCGACCAAGCCACCGCGAAGGAGCTTCGGCGCAAACTTCTGGTCGTCGCGAGCGTCTGCAAAGCGCTCATTGCGTGCCGCGTCTCGCCGGCGCAGAAGGCCGACATTGTCAACCTCGTACATACATATTGCTTTCCATCGCAGCCGTCGACCAACTGCAACTTGTAGGTCCGCTTCAACTCGGTCAACAAGCCGATTACGCTCGCGATCGGCGATGGCGCCAACGACGTCAACATGATCCAGTCGGCGCACGTGGGCATCGGCATCTGCGGCCAAGAAGGCGTTCAGGCCGTGAACGCGAGCGACTATGCGATTGCACAGTTTTGGATTTTGATTTCTAGATTTTCCATATTTGCCCAACGATTTAATTTGCACAAGGATTCTAACGTTTGGACTAGATTTCTGGAGCGTCTTTTGCTCGTGCATGGCCGCAGCAACTACAAGCGCATCGCCAAGGTCATCTTGTACTCGTTCTACAAGAACATGTCGCTCGTGATCGTGCTCTTTTTCTTCAACTTTTTCAACGGCGAGAGCGGCACGTCCCTCTTTGAGAGCTTTGTCATGGCCGGCTGGAACTTCTTTCTCGCGCTCCCGATCATCTCAATTGGCGTCTTCGACCAAGACGTGCCGCCAGCGCAGGCAACGTCGTACCCACCACTGTACATGACCGGTCAGCGCAACGAAGACCTCAACGTCAAATGCTTTTGTATCTGGATCGCCAACGCCATGTTTCACGCGTGCGTGAGCTTTTGGATCCCGCTCTACATTGTGCCTGCGTATTCGACGCACTCGTTTTACCTCCAAGGCACGACGATCTACTCGGGCTTGCTCATGACCATGAACGCCAAAGTCATGCTGGAAACCATGACCTGGACGCGGTTCAGCTACGCGGTCGTCTCGTTCAGCATCCTCCTCTTCTTCTTCTTCCTCCTCGTGTACCCGTACATGACGTTCCTTGGCACCGACATGATTGGCATCACGCCTGTCATGCTTGGCTCGTACGTTGTGTTGATTGCATGCTGTTACTGAGTGTGCGCACATAGGACTCTCTACTGGGACGTCTTCTTCCTCATTCCGGTCGCATGCATGCTCGTGGACGTCAGCGTGAAATAGTAGGTCCCGCCAATGTCTTTTGGAGGATTTATCGCGGTTTTATGATAGTATTCGGCGGTTCTACTACCCCACACACGCCGATATTTTGCGGGAGCGCGTCGTGATCCAGCGCACGCAAGCCAAAGTGTCGTGTGGCACGATTCCTCAGGGCTTGGTCAAGCCCGCTTCGGCCGCCGTGAGCGCCATGGAGCGGACGCCAACGCAAATCGCGGCCGACGAGAAAA